GAGGCGGCTCAGCCCTGCGTGGCCTCCCGCGGCCTTGCTGGCACTCAGAGCCCCACGGCCGCTGGGCCCCGGGGCCGCCTGGCCCTCGCGCACCGTTCTCTGCCCCCGGAGCTGAGTGAGCAGCCAGGCCTGGGCTGATCGGGGGCAGGGCTCGGCCTCCTCCCTCCGGCCTCCCTCCGCCCTCAGACTCTGAGGGTCTCCTCCCTGCCTGGGGCCCGGGGACGCAGCTTTGCAGGACAGCGCTGACGTCGCTGCAGAGCCCAGGGTCCCTCTCTGTCAAGCAGGGTGCCGTGCTGCTGCCGTGGGTTTCCCGGGAGGGCGAGTGTCGGAGGCTACTTTTCCTTAATGAGACGCGTGGCTTTTATAGAAGAGCACGTTACGCAGATTCTCTAAATAAAAACACTGCCCCCCACCTGCCTTCTGTTCAGCAGCAGCGCTGGACTTGCGGGGAGCCCCGCCCCGTCCCCCGGGCGCCTTACCTCTCAGCCTTCACTGTGGACGGTGGCTGTGGCCCTCACCCCCGCGAGGGGCTGTCGTTCGGATTATTGGTTGTTTTTGGCGTCTCTGCTTTGCTTCGTGGGTGTGCAGTGCTTGGTCACGGAGCCGGGTGAATGGCGGTTAAGCCCTCACTCCCCTGCGAAGACCAGCACCGCTCAGCAGTGACGTGGCCTCTCGGACCCTTCAGGCTTCGATTTGGGTGCCTTCACTGTGTAAAGCCATGACGCGTCTGGTATTGATCTTTTGTTTTATTATGTTGTGTGTAGGGTGCGAGGGGTCGGTCTGTGTGGGGCCAAAGGACGTTGGCCTCATGAGGTCAGGTGCGACATGGGAATCTGCCTGGCACGTGGCGTGTGCATGTCACTTGATCTCCCTCAGGTGACGCTCCCTGTTTGTAATTGCGGGTGATGTTGAGGGACGGTTCTGATCAGCAAAGGGACGCAGTGCGTGGGTGGCGAAGGGCGGCTGCTGGCGCATCGTGAACCGTCAGGAAATCCTGGTCACCAGCTGCTACATATCAGCCGTACCCCCTGGGAAAGGACATCAGGACAACAGCCTGTTAGGGCAAATGAATAATGATCACCAGAAGAATCTCCTGAAGTCCCCTCTCCCCTCCCTGGAGGTGAGGGGGGGGGCGAAAGTTCCATCTACCCAGTCACGTGGTTGGTTTCCCTGCCACCAGCCCCGCCCTCCAAGTCACCTCATTAGCATAAACTCAGGGGCTGTTGGAAGGGGACACATCATTCTCAGAAATCCCAAGGGAACTGGGGCAGGAGCAAATCTACGTTCTTTTTCAACCTGCGCATCACAGCCCAAAGGTGGCAAGGCATCTGCCCCATCCCTGTGTGGACATCGTTGAAGATGTCCAAAGGTGCACTGCCAGGGACTCACCGGCGTTAGGGTTCTGTGTTGGGGACTAGCCCTTCCAGAGCAATTACAGCCGCCCCCCGGTGATCATGGGTGCTTTGTGACCTTGAAAGCACCTTCCCGCTTTGTTTCAACCCAGGTGTGACAACATGTGCATATGTCTTCATTTACTTAAGAATAAGCCATACATCTGTTAACTTTCTTTGCATTAACACTTCATGTTGCCCTGGTCAGTGTGGCTCAGTGAGTTGAGTGTGGTCCCACAGAACCAAAGGCCGCAAGTTCGATTCCTGGTCAGGGCACATGCCTGGGCTGCAGGTTTGGTCCCTGGTGGGTGTGCCTATGGAAGGCCACCAATCAGTGTTTCTCTCTCACATCGCTGTTTCTCTCCCCCTCTCTCTTCCTCCCTTCCCCTCTTTCTAAAAAAATAAAATAAAATAAAAATCCAGAAGCATGTCCTCAGGTGAGGGTAAAAAAAAATGCTTCCTGTTGGTGACTAATAAGTGTTGTACTGCTTGGCACAGGACACCAAATAGAGTCAGATGTAGAAACGCATTAAATTAATTAGATATTAAAATTTTGTGTTAAAACGTTTTTGCTTGTATTTCCTCTATTGTTTAAGTGCTGTTAATGTTGTTTTGGTTATTTCTTGACTTTGGTTAATAAAGAAGTTTGATTTCTAAAGATACTTATAGAAGTGTAAAGAACATCCAAGAAAATAATGGATACTACTTAACTCTTTTTTTAGTAAGGAGCTTACAAATGCAAACTCTGTGTGAAGATATGAAGGCATTTGACGCACACTCCAAGTGTGATGAAGTAATGTAATTAATTTTGCAGTGTTCAGAGCCCTCTTAAAACGGAAGCGCTGCCAAAGCGCCACGTTCGGAGATGGGCTCTGAGAGGAGTTAGGGAAAAGGGGGGAGGAGTTCACGGGACGCACTGTTTGGGTTGAATTGTTACACAACAGGTGAGAAATTAAGTTACTTGGTGGAGCCATACAAAACACATGCCCAGCATTGGTGGACAGGCCTGTGTAATTGTTGCTATGGGAACTACAGTCTCATTTCTTGACATATGTTAGACTTTTCTGCAGCAAAATTCATTTACCCTGATTTTTGTGGTATAATTTTGTTCCTTTGTTTAAAACAAAACGTTGAATACATTTAGGAGATAATACTATCGTTCAAAAGATAGCAACGCACCGGTTTCTGCTCGTTGGAATACCACAATTAACTTTTAAAAGCTGATATCTCGATGAACTTCTTGCTTGAATTATTCTTTTATACCGTGCAAGGCTCCAGCCTGTGCTGGGAGTCGATGACAACTAATAACTATTGTGTGTCACCAGCCTGTCACTTATTTATAAATACCTAAAACATTGTAATGTTAAGATAGTTCATGTGAATAAATATTTTAGGGTTAACCATCCTCAATTATTAGTCTCTCTGCACTACTTCATTTTAATATTTAAACTCATGATAAAATTGAGAAACAAATTTGGGTCAGATTTTTGTTATATTGGTAACGGAGCCTCTGCTGCTGGGGATTCTTACAATCGAACCAACTCCCAGTTGCGGGAAACGTCGCAGACTGGGGTTCGCTTCCACGCCGTCCCCTGGAAACCGGCGGGAGGCCGCTCTGCAGGGAATCGAAATGCGTGCCAACATTTCTTTCATTGACCCTGGTTCAGTCTTTTATTTTCATACTTTTAAAATGATCCTGTGACATTGTATACATGGGAAAATAGTTAATATCCCTTATGACTTTTCTGAGTTTCAAAAGGTGGGTGCAAAGCACCGAGTTTCTTGACATTTTGAATATGAAAGGGAGCTTGTTTATTAATTTTACCACAGCAATCCTTGAACTGCTAGTAAGCAGAATGTAACGGCAAACCTGAAGAAGGGCCAATCGGCTTACTTAACGACTGGCACCTCCCATTCAGCCGGCGGAGCAAGCGCGCAGGGAAACGCCTTTATAGGAAGGAGGCGGGACAGGAAGTCACAGCAGCAGAAAGCTGAATCCTCATTGGAGAATAGTAGGAGTCCTCTCATTGGCTGAGCTGCAGCGTGCCAATGGCTGGGTTTGTTGCTTGGATAGGAGAAAAGCTTCCCTCCGCCTGTAGGCGGTGCATTGGCCACTCCTCAAGTCGGAGTGAGGAACACAGCGCTCTGGGGCCGAGGGCGCCCCCTGCAGGTGGCCGAAGTCAGGGCTGTGGATCCTTTATTCGCTTTCACGGACCTGAGACGCGCGCTCCTACGTGCATCACGGATTTTCATGGGGAGAGCGACACAGGAGCATTTTAAAGAAGTTAATTTTCTGTTACTAAGGTTCCTACGTGCTTTTTCAAAGTAGATCGCCCTGGGAAGGTGCTTGAGTTGTGCTCCCACAGCTTTTTCTCCCCCGTTCTCATGCTCGCCCCCTCCAGCTCTGTGAGCCTGGCACGTGGCCTGGGGAGAACGGGGAGTCGGCCCCCATGGGCCCACGTGATGACGGCAGCGAGCGGGTAAAGGTTAACTTTTAATGCCCAGTTTCCTGATTCCAGCAGGAATGGAAGGGGATATCAGAGCGTTCCCACCTAATCAGTAAAGTGGTTCTGGACGGGGGTGCTCAGCGGTGTCTGACGGGCCTCCGGGAATGAAGGTCACCGCTGCACAGGACACTGGGTTGTCGCCGCCTTGTGATGAGATCTTGCTCCGCGGCGCTGGGCACGCTACTAAACAGGACACATGCTGAACTGTTTTCCTCACCAAGGAGTAACAGTTATCCAGCAGGACATTAATACATTGGAAAAAATCTCTATCTCATTAAGAGATACATTTCCAATTCAATTTTAATGTTTATGTTCATTCATCAATATATAATACATTTATATTTTAGAGTCAATTATGCACCTCTAAGGGTAATGATAATTGAGTCAAGTAGAAATTTGTTTATCATTTAGAATTTTTATGTCACGAAATTTAAAAAATACATCTGGATTGTATACACATGTATGCATGCATATGTATGAATGTGTAGATGCGGAGAAAGAGAGGAATCTTTTAAACCTAAACGTAGTGACAGGTCCAATTCTGTGGAGGAAAGAGGAACAGAAGTTAAGACTTGAAGGACAAAAATGAACGCTGTCTGCCTGGGTCAGCAAGGACGGTGTGAGCCTGGGAGGAAAGAGCTGGAAGGTGGGGCCCGGGCGGGCAGCCTCCTGCCTCTCAGGACAGAGGGTTCCGCTGGCCCTGGCCAGGCCAAGCCCACCCGCCTGCTTCCCCAGCTCAGGCCAGGCCTGTCTGGGAGGCACAGCGCAGGGCTAGCAGCCATCGCACTGGGCACTCACGTCTGGGTCTAGTTTCTACAGCATCTCCTTGTTGGCATGTTGTCCCTAGGCCCTGCAGGGCCTGGGACATTCTCACAGGAGCCCAGGGTGGCGGGGGGCTGGGGGCTTTGGGGGGTGTCTCCCCACATCGACATTTGTGATTTCAGGTCAGTCATGTGAAATGAGCCCAGAGTGTGGACACCACATGCTCAGCGAACATGGCAGATCTGGCCCACACCCTCGGAGCCAGGCCACGCATGTGGCACAGCCATGCATGTGTTGCTCTGTGTCGAGTCAGTCTTCATCGAGCCTTGACAGAACGACCATGGAGGGAGACAGCGTAGATTTAGAAACCATGGCAGCTTTTGAAGCTTTTTCTTGTGCCCACATCGGTGTGAGGACAGTAAACAGCCTGATCCCCCATGTGTGCACCATTCAGAAAAAGACAGACACACAGGACTGTTCGCAGGACCTGGCGGGCGTGGCACACAGGCCTGCCTTGCGCCCTGAGCTGAAGGTCAGGGCCGGGGAGCCCTCCTGTCATCGGCTTATTCCGAGCGGATGATGCATGACTTGAACTTTTGAAAAATTGAATAGTTTTGAAGGATCATGAAACTCACATTAATTTTTTTAATGCGGTCACCAGGAGGCCAGCCTGGGCTGGGACTGGGTCCCGCCCACCTGCTCCCCACTCTGGGGCAGGAGAGGCAGTCACGCCAGGCAGACGGGGACGCTTGGCATCACCCGCATCTTGACTCGAACCCTGTGCTTTCCCCGCGACAGCTCTTGGATGCTACTCTGCAGAGAAGTGGGGGTCGCTGGGGGTCGGGGGTCAGTCTTCCTGTGGCCTGGCCACTGGCAGCCTCCGCGGCTTCCCTGGGAGTTTCGTGCTGTTCCGGGTGCTGTCAGGCAGCTCATGTTGACATTTTTATCTTGTGCAGCAGACAAGGGCTGTTCACAGACACCCACAGCTTTGATGAAATCAATGTCCTGTGTCGCCTGCGGCTTCTCCTAAGGAGCAGCCACACGGCGCAGCGCGGTCAGTGCGGCTGGACGCTGAGTGAGAGCTGGAGGGAGGCAGGGTTTCGATCAGAAATTCCTGTAAGTGTAGTTGAACACTGGCAATAAAGAAACACACCAGAAGTCACCTATTTGCACCCAGTAATGGCAGGCTCTGTCCAACCTGATCCAGTCTCATTTGTCTTTGAGACGTTTTCTGCCAAGTGTTTGCTGTGTTTTCTGCGAGGTTTTCCCTGGCAGACGCCCTTGGGCCTCAGGTAGCACATGGGTCGCTCTGGCCCCCTGGAAGGGCTGCAGCCTCCGGGCTCCGTGCTGTCACGCTGGCCGGGCAGACGGACCCTCCCGCCCCCATTCGCCCTCTGGCGAGGTGACGTCTCTCCGTGCTTACACCTCAGCCTGCCTGTTTTCCTCCCGCTGAGTTTTGAGGGATCTTTATAGATTCTGGGCGCATAAAGCCTTGACGGACAAGTGACTGCAAATGTGCCCCCGCCTGCGGCTTGTCCTTCGCTCCCCCACAGTCGCCCTTGCAGAAGCCGACTTCCATGGCCGACATCTTAGATCATGCTCATCCTTTTCTGGGAGACGTTCCGGTAGGGATTTTAGACGTCCCCCAAAGCGGGCAATGTCACCTTGGTCGGTGGACACTCAGAGTGACTCTAGTGTGCGTTGCAGCCTTCGGGAGGCGGTGTGTTGGGTGCAGAAGTTTGCGGGACCCAGGCCCAGCCGGCAGGAGTGGCCGTCGAGAGGGTACTGGGTGCCTCTCTGAATGGCTGATGTCCCTGTGTGTAACATGAACACAAACCTGGGGCTGCAGACCACACTCCCGGTTCCACCGCAGAAGCGCTGTTTTCTCACGTGGGAAACGGGGAGGTGACAGCTGCCTCCTGAGGACAGTGGTGAAGATCACGTAACTTCACGGGTTGGGTTGGGTGGGGCTGGTCCCAACGGACAGGGCGGCCCTGGAGGCTGGGACCCTGCAGGCATGGAGCTCAGGGAGAAGATGGAGGATTAAGTCAGAGCGACGGAGCAGGGGACACGAGCCGCTCAGACGTGTCCCCATCCCGCAGCCCTCCTGCTCCCCACGGTTTCACCTGCAGAAGCACTCTATGAAGGAGCGAGTGTGTGGGCACCTGTGTGGATGGTCACCCCGGGGGCAGGCGGGCCGGCTCGGAGAGATGGCGCAGCATTTCGTCCCCCACTGCCCTGCCTTTATTTGACATGCTTTTGAACCATTCTTTATTGTCGTTGACACTAGATTTGTACTGTAATGGCATTGTTTCCTTTGGTAACTTTTTAGTTTTTAAAGGGGTGTGGTCATCGCGCAGAAGATGGGGGAGCTGGGAAGTGAGAGGAAGGAGGGGCTGACCCGCAGTGGCCCTGACACCTGGGGGGGCCCCTGCTGGTTCTGTCCTGGGTGCTGGGTGGCGGCCGCTCCCGCTCCTCATTCCTGGTGACGCTGACAAGCCAGGGGCATTGAGGCTGTCTGCTTCTAACCCTCTGCATCTCAGCCTCCCTACACGCTGCCGGGACCTGGTGTTTCTGTGCATTTATGTGGATAAATGCACATGTGTGAACCGGATGCGCGTGTAAGTGCCCCTTCGCAGATTTCTAACATTAATGAGGGCGAGTGGGGCACACTGGTCTCCAACGAGTGTTTCCATTGCATTGTCAAAAAGATCTATTTTAGTGAACCTCATAAAAGTCTACTTTATTCCTTTTTAACACATTTTTATTTGGAAATAATTTCAGACGTAAGGACATTTTAAGACAAAAGTGTAGCGAGAGCACTGGTCCCCTCAGCCAGGCTGGCCCATCAAGGCTTTGTCCCGCTTTGTCCCCCCACCCCGGCCCCGTTTGTGCCCTCCCTCTCCGCGTGTGGTCTGTTTTTTGTGCACTGTGACACCAAGTTGCATAGATCGTTGTGCTTTATCTCAGCATTCTTCCGTGTTTTCCCTAAGAATGTGGACAGTCCCTTCATATTCACAGGACAGGCACCGCCTTTAGATTTAACATCGATAATGTGTTCACTATGCACAGTCCAGTTTCGGCAGTTGACCCAAAATGTCTTTTATGCATTTTTCCCTTTTAGCGCACAGACTGCAGTTCAGGGCCAGACATTGCACCTCGTTGCCATGTCCTATAGTTCGGTCATGTGACCACTTTTACTCTCGTAATGCATTTCAGTGTGGACACATTGTGCCGTGTAACCCTCCCCCACCACGGACACAAGTGGCTTTGTTCTTTCTGCAATAACCACGATAGCAACAGTCAGCCTGGCAAGCTTGTCGTTTTGAATACAGGCAGCTGCTTACGATGAGTCCTCGGGTGTGACTCTGACAGATGCCGTTTACGAACTCAGACTTCTACAATTTTTGAGGTTCCCACTGTTTCTGTTAAAACTCCAAGATGACGGTGAGGTTGAACACTCTCACATCATCTTATTAAATACCAGTGCTTGCATGATGATCACGTATTATTTCTGAAATCACCCTTTCCTATTATTTCCCCATTTTCAAAGTTGTCCTGTTCTTTTTTTTTAAAAGGCTTTATTTATTTATTTGTAGACACAGGGGAAGGGACAGAGAGAGAGGGAGGGAAACGGGGAAGTGTGGCTGCCTCTCCTGCGCCCCCTACTGGGAACTTGGCCGGCAACCCAGGCACATGCCCTGACTGGGAATCGAACCAGAAACCCTTTGGTTCGCAGGGCAGGGTGCAGTCCGCTGAGCCACACCAACCAGGGCTGGGTTGTGCTGTTCTAATCCTTTTCATATTAAAGGCTCGCTAAATGGCTGTCTACCAATTCCTTTGGATTTTCTAATTAGATAATGTATCAGTCAGTTCTGATTTTATTTTTCCTTTCCAATACTTTTATTTGTATTTTTGGTCTTATTGCATGGTTTAGGATCACTAGCAGGCTGTTCAGTACTAAAATATCATGAATGTCCTTGTTTTATTTTTTGGCATTGTGTCATACTGATATTTTATTTAAAAATTTTTTGTCGACACTATTACATATGTCCCCCATTTCCCTCCTTTCTTTCTCCCCTTCCTTGTCTTATTTTTGACTCTAATAAAAATGACTTCAATCACAGCATGATTGTTTGCCATAGAGCTACAAGAAGTTGGTTAAATACTTATTCAGCACCTGTATAAATACATTTCTTCCCCTTCTTTAAAACCTCTTGAAAAAAATAATAGATACCCTGATATTGAACCATTTCGGTTCAGAGTTTTGTATTGTTTTCATACGCCGCTCGATTCCGTTTGCTCGTTGTCTGTCGGGAATTTCTGCGTTTTCATTGCTGTGGTGGAGCGTTTCCCTCCCTTGGTTCCTCTTCCTCCACGACGAGGATCCCGCGGTCCTCCCGCGGGGACACGCCATGCCCTTCAGTCCCAGAGGGTCATCTGTGTAACCGGGGCCCGCAGCGGCCCCCCGCACGGAGCTCACCACCCACCCCACCCCCGCCCTTGTTTGCCACGGGCTCCCCCGTGGCCCCTTCGCGTTCACGTTCCTCTCGCTGCTGCCTGTCTTCTAAAGAGTGTCTTTGTTAACATCTGCGAGTGGGAAAGCTTTTAGCCTCCTTGGGTGGCTAAAAATATGCTTATTCCCACATAAAATCCAATTTTACTGAGCACTGGAACCTACGTTCCCAGTCCTTTCCCCTCAGAACCGCTCGGCGCAGGTAACGGAGTCTCTCCCGCCGCCGGTCTTCCCTCGGGGCTCCGTCTCCCGCCCCCGGCGCGCGCCGCGGCTCAGTGCAGGGACGGCGGGGGCGGGGGGCTGGCCTGCCTCCCCCGCCCACGCCCCCGCGTCCTCCCCGGGCCCCTCCAAGCTCCCGCTGCTTCTCTGCCTTTAGCTTTGGGAATTTTTCTTCCGTCGGTTCTTTCTTCCTCCCTCAATTCCGTCTGGTTTTCCTTCTAAGAGCCTGTCAGAAAGACACCGGACGCCGTCCGGCCCCCGGACGTCCCTGCCTGTCGCATCCCTGCGTCCTGCGCGGCCTCCTCACGGACTCCCGCGCGTCTGGCGCCCCCGCCCGGCGTCAGCGTGGCCCCCACCCTCGTCCACGCGCGCCCGCTTCGCACGCCGCTGTTTCCCCCCCTGTCGCGGGCGTGAGGACGGCCGTTCCGGGCCCTCCCACGACCACCCTGGTGTGACGAGTGCTGTGTCTGTCGCGTTGCTTGACCGTGACTTCCGCAAGTGCCAAAGGACCGCCGGTCACCCGTCCGTCTCTGAGATCCTGGCCTGGTGCGGGTGTGGTTTCTGACGACACCACAACGACCTGTCGCGAGCAGTTTAAGTGACTTTAAATCGGCGGCACCGGTGTGTGCCGGTGGCCTCCCGTGTGGGGACAGCTCTCGGCACCCGTCTTGGGCGGCGTTTGCGGATGGGGCCCCTGAGCTGCCTCCCCACCCCGGGCGCCGGTGGTTCAGTCCGGGGGGCAAATCCTGAGCGCACGTCCGACTTCACCGTCCGACAGCGGCTGCCGACGCCGGGACCGGGCGGGCCGCGCTCTGCCAGGCGGCGGCTCGGGGAGGGCGCCGCCCCTGGGGAGGGCCTCGCGGCGGGAAAGGGCCCGCCCGCCCCCTGCGGAGCGTCAGGACGGCGGGGGGCGGTGCCTCTGGGCCCCGGGGGGCGGCCTGCCGGCCGGACCCGCCCCGCCGTCTGCTCCAGGTCCGCGGCCGACCCTCCGGCGTGCACAGCGCAGCCGTGGCGCCTCGGAGGGAAACACCTGATTCGCCCGCGGACGCCGTTCGTGCCGACGCCGAGCTGCTGGGGGCCTTTCGAATCCAATCAGGTTTCCTCCTCCTGTTCCGCGCGTGGCGTCTGCGGCAGCACGTGGCCCGCGGTCACACGTTGCTACGGAAACCCCTGTAATCACTGCGCACAGCCGTGTTCCCGGAGGGCTCTTCCTCCCCATTCCAAACCGCGCCCCCTAATCTCCAGCCTTGTTTTTTATGCCCTGTATTTGGTCTAAGTTCTTCCTGCTGAGGAAATACCTGGCTCCAGTAACTGGCTGAGAGTCGGCGCGCACGGCCTCTTTCACGGGGGGCGGGGGTTTCGCGCGTGTCTGTGTGTGACTGTGTGCCTGTCTGCGTATTTCTGTGTGTCTCTTGTGCGTGTCGTCTGTGTGTCTCTGTGTGTCCCTTGTGTCCGTCTGTGTGTGTCCGTCTCTCGTGCACGGGCCTGTGTGTGTGGCTTACTTCCTGCCGTTTCCGTATTTTGGGCACTTTCTTCCCTTCTTCGGCAGCACCACCCTGTCTAGTTTAAAGTGGTGATTTGGTGATACCACATTGGAAAAAAGATGGGAGGATTGCAGATAAAATTTCTTTTTGGTGTAAGTTAGGGCGCGTCTAATAATATGCGTTGACTTCATTGAAACCAGAGGAGTCTCCGTGGGGGTGGAATGGCCGCGTGGCTGTCCGGCAGGAGCCGGCGTCGCAGCGGGGGGCAGAAGTGCCGCGGTCCCCACGCGCGTGCCACATCTGTTCTGTGACAGACGTCACGGGAAGGGCTGTTGTATACCTGACTTTCCAGAAAGGGTAGTGTGTCCTCGTGCCGTTTGTCCGGCGCGGGGCGGGCCCGCTGGGGCGGGACGGGACCCCTCTGGACGGAGGCCCGTCCTCCTGCAGAGCGGGGTGTCCTGCGCGGCCCACCCTCACCCCTTTCAAACGCGTCTGTTCGTGCTCTGAGACTGGCCCTTCAATTCACCCAATTTCAGTGATTCTTACAACACTGGATAGTTTAATATTGTTCAAAATGCACGTAGTACCGAAGTGCTGTTTATTATCTTTTTAGTCATTAATTAAAATGTTAAGCAAAATATGGAGTAACTTATCTGGTGCACACTATTACACATTGCAGGTTCACGGCAATATAGTGATTATGAAACAATTCGGATATGAAGCTGTAAGTGCCTGATGCTGATAATTGGGTTTTGCACACAGCCCGTCGCCACCTGTTGGTTTTAAAGTGCATTCTCTCAGTGAAACTTGGTCACACTGTCAGTTGTTTTTCTGGAATCTGTCTTACATCCTACACCACATCACAATTTTCCAAAACCTCTGTTTACAAAATACATTTGTTACTGTTTTCAACATGACCATCCACTCTAAAAAGGTATAATGAGTTTTCTTGTTCAGTTTCTTTATTAATGATTTTTGACACCGCGGACGTGACTGTGGGCTGGTGTCTGAGCCTCGCCGGCTGTGGGCTGCCTCGCTGAACGTGGCCCAGCTCAGCTCCCGCCCGGACCGTCTCCCGGGCTCAGGGACGCACCTCTGTTACTTGGGGACGCGTGTGCAGATGGAAGAGCAAACGCTGACGGGCATCTTCGGCTGACAACAGCATCTGGACGTGGCTGTCAAACCAGGCCTCCCGCTCTGACGCTGGGCGCACGCAGTGGGGCGGACCCGGGGTGCTGAGCTTGGTTGCCGCCCCAACTCGCACCTCTGTTTTGTGGGTGAGGACGCTGATTCCGACCGGAGCGTCCCCATCGCTACCACCTCCCGTCCCTGCGTCCCAGGCAGCCGGGACTTCGGGGGAAGCTAGCGCCATGGCTTCGCGTTCCTGCTGTGCACTGACCTGACTCAAGCCTTTGAAAACGAAGGGAGCCTGAGAGAACAACATTTCCCTTCTCTTCTGCGGCAGCATCTGGAAGTCACACCGTCTCCCCAGAAGGGATAAGACCTCTCTAGGGGGATGGGTGGCCCTCCTCCCCTCCTGGAGTGCCGTTGGCTCTGAAGGAGCTGTGGTCACAGGGCGCAGGGGAGGTGTGGAGCTCAGGCAAGTCATCGGCATTTCGAACATGACTGGGCCACGAGGTGGTGTCTACGCTAGTCTTGTGTGCGTCATCAGACGTTGACAACCGACTGCGAAGGCCGGTGGGTGAGATCCCCCATTCTCACCCCTTCCTGCCTCATTCCGGCCTGGCCCGCAGGCTTCATAGCCATCGCCTGGCCCGGGAGAAGGCGGCTGAGCGGCCCCAGGACCCCCAGGTGCAGGAGACACAGGGCAGCGCCACTGGAGAAGGCGGGTCAGAGGCTGATTTCTGCGGCTGATCATGAGATGCCTGTGATGCTTTCATTACATCGATAATGATGGAGTGATGAGTTACAAAGGAGTCAGTAATTATGGAGTGAACGTCACAAAGGAACCCGACAGAACCAGATGGAATCGAATCAGCTGCACGCCCTCGTGTGTGGCCCTGCGGAGTTCCCGTCAGCCTCTGGCACTGAAGAAGACGGGGCAGTAGGTCATCCAATGGAAGACACGTGGACCCATGGACTGACTCCCTGAGAAACCAGGCTGAAGGGGTGGCATTTGGCCTTGGAGGCTGGGAAAACACTGAATTTAAGGTGCGTTAGTGAATGTGCTTCGTACCTGTAGTAAAATGGCTATTTAAGACCCAATGATGAGGCCTTGTGGTGTGTTGGCAGACACGTCCGTGGGCCAGGAGCCGTGCCAGAAGATGCCATTGTCTGAACTCAGTGGCTCGTGGTTCAGACAATGGCGCTCATGGAAGCCAGGAAGGAAGGGATCAGCTTGGACACACACACGAGAGTAAACCCACCTAAGCTGTTGAAAAACCACTGCGGTGAAGTCAGCATGTGCCTGACAAATAAAGAAAACACGTGTGCAGTGGACACGTGGTCCAGAACATAGAAAGAGGTACCAGCGAGCAATTTAAAATTTATCCCCCAAAAAGCCAATGTGTGGAACAGGCAATTGACACAAATACGTTTAACTAAGATTCATATTAAAAGACCCTTAAACTTCATGAACACACTGAGAACTGCTTTTCAGCACAAACATTTGGTAACACGGGACGCATCAATGGGCAGAATGTTTTGGCAGCCTTTTGGGCCAAGAACATGTGTATCCTGTGACCCAGCGATTCCGATCTCAGAGGCCTGTCTGCAGAGTCGCTGGGAGGCATGTAGGATGGGTGCAGAACGGCCAGGAGTCGGAGAAGCTGGGAAAAGCCCAAATAAGTGCCTGACAGTGGGGGGTTTGCAGGGCTGACGACGGGGTCCAAGGCAGAGCTCTCTCTCTGCGGGGGTGGGGAGAGTCCTCAGCACGCTTCCGGGGTCCAAGGCAGAGCTCTCTCTGTGCGGGGGTGGGGGGAGTCCTCAGCACGCTTCGTGCGGGTGGCAGCAGAGCCGCTGTCCGGGGCGGGCGTGTGGGCCGTGACAGACACCCGATTGGAGGGGCCGTCACACAGCTGTGTGCTCGCTGGTCCCTGGAAACCAAGCTTGCTCTCCAGTCCGTGGATCCACCTTATAATCCACATTTGCTGACAGAGCTTGTGCAAACAAAACCCAGGTGATTTCTTACCTTTCTAGGAGGCACGTTGGAAAATAAGTAGGTGGCACTTAGTGACATGGGGTCGCACAGGTGCTCGGTCAGAGACTTCGGCGACAAAACAAGGCTTTCAGAACATGGCACGCAACGCGCCCCTCTTCCACCCTTCGTGAAAATTAGCATAGCCAGACTGTAGCTTTGGGGGGGTGCGGGAAGTGTGTGTTTTAGGGTGTTGTAGCTCAGCGAGAAGGAAAGGGTGGTATGCATTCCCAGCGTGATGTCGCAAACAAGTGTCTCCAAAACCTCCCGTTCCTGGTTCCTCTCTCTCCTCCCGGGAGGCGGGCGGGAGGGCGGTGGTGATTTCTGGCATTAACAGGCAGTGAACAAAAGGGGCTGAGAATTTCATAATTTATCAAAGTGTCTGGACTGCCGCCTCTTTGTTTTTTTAAAGCCACACCCAGCTTTCTCTGGGCGTGGCCTCCGTCGGGGTTAACCCTGGGTTAACCCTGGGTCTGCGCGGCTGTGCCTTGGGCCCTGCGGGGTCCCTTGCGAAACGAGTCTCCGTTTGCATGTTTGGACCTACCAAGGTGCACAAGGAATCATCAGCCTTGATTTGAGGACAGTTTTATTGTTTCTATTGGATTGAACATTTGAAGTCAGGATGTCTACTTTGAGGTATTTTTCACGATGCGTATGTTATTTGTTATCCCTGCTCTTGATGGATTTAATCGTTGCCCAGAGTCATGTTTTTGATGCCTGTGCATGTTTCCCAATGCGGGAGATTGTTGATCCTTTTTTAATCATCTTTTCGGCATTTCTGTTTATTCCCCATCCTAGGCCTTCCCACGGTCTGAGGCGTGGCCGTAGCTGCCCGTGACCCAGCGGCTGCCAGTGACTATCCCCGGCCTGCGGCCCTTGGCCCGCGCCCCTCAGCAGCATGGGGACCGCTCAGGTAGGCTGTTCCTGCGGGGGTCGCGGGGGTCGCCGCGCTGGGGGAGCCCGTGACCGCAGCGTGAAGCGCGGTGGGGAGCACTCGGGGTGGCTTCCGTGGGCAGGGGGTCGTGTGTTGGTCGCTGTGACTCAGGTCATGGGGCCGGGACCCCGGGAATCCCAGGGGGTGTCCCAGGTGGCGGTGCCGCCCGGGCTGCAGGGACCGAATCCACTGCCGCCCCGACCGAGCCTCGCTTCTCCAGCCCAGCAGGCCAGTGTCTGGGGTTTGAAATGTTCTCAGAGATGTGAATTTAAACATCACATCACCGTTGAAAGGCCACCACAGGCAGGCCCCTCCAGTGCAGCCTCCCAGTTCTCAGGCGGCCCGGGCGGCCTGGCCGCATGCTCTCCTTCTCTCTAAGGGACGGCGTCTGGAAACTTGAGTGGTTCTGCGGCGGTTTGGAGGCCCCGGCCTCCCTGGTCCTGTGTCTGGCCAGTTTGCCCACGGACCCAGCTGAAGATGCACCCGGCCGTGTCTTGGGGGTCCTCATGTATGAGCCTCTTTCACATTTTATTTTTTATTATTATTTTCAATTACAGTTTATATTCAGTATTATTTTGTACTCATCTCAGGCGAACGTGCAAGATTTTTAGCTGCACTTGGAGCAGGTTCCCACGGACCCTGGGTTTGCTGCCAGGGAACTTGGCGCTGTGACTCTGCGCAGTCTTGAACGAATTAGAGAGAGCTAAGAGAGCAAGTATGTTTATGAGTGCGGCTTTCGTTTTACGTGCACTGGTTTAAACTGTTCTCCCTCTCTTGGCCAGTTGTTCATCTGTTGGCTTTTCATACATTGCACTGGGCTCGTTCATGGTCCTAACTTGAACATGTATGCATGTGTGACTTGAGTGTAGTAAACGCAGACTTTTTCCACTGCATTTGAGGCCTTTTATTTTGGGTCTGACCACGTTTCCTTCCTGTAAAGGGTGCCTGCCCCGATCTAGCCTTATAACAGAATAAACACCTAGATTTTAAACATTCTGTAAGGACAAAACAGAACAGCAACAGACCGCTGTGAGGTTCTGGAGAACGTTTCCTCTGGTCTCGAACTTGGATGCGTCTGCCCTCCAGGTGCTCATGGGAAAGACGCGCAGTGCACAGTGTGGGCCCGGCCGGTGGGTGCTGCACTCAGCGCCGTTTCCGGCTGAACCGTGGCCCCTCGAGCTTCCCCCACGCTGCTCTCTGGGCACGCGCGGTTGTCCGCTGGAGTGAGAAGGCCTCCTGCCTGCCCTGCTGAGACTCGGCATCTCAACGCTCACGCTCTTGGGAGTCCCCGCTTTGAAGGGCCTGCCTGGGCCAGTCCTGGTGTGCCGGTGCGGGGGACCAGGCCCTCGCGACCTGGGGCGCAGGCGGCGGGCAGGGCAGCGCGGCCCCAGGGTCACTCCGCGGATCCTCGTTTTGTTTGTGGCAGGTCCCTTTCCTCTGTGCGCCTTTTGTTTGACCCCCGACTAAGGCTGTGCCTTTATGGCGTGATTCAGCTTTATTCTAGCATTTAACAGTTAACCTTTCCCCACATATCTGCACTCTATATTCATGGCTAACTAATGCATTACGGGTTTAACAACCAAAAATTTTCTAAGCACTTAAGTACCAATTTAAAAAGTGTTCAGCAGTTTATAAGTACTTAATTTAATTCACTGTGTTCACATAGTAGGTTTTCTTAGACACTGCGTTGTGAACTTATTGACAGAAACAGGCAAAATTGCCACAATGATTACAATCCTGGTCAAAGCCCTGCTAGTATAAGATGTCGTAAAATATTATTCTTTTAATTAAACGTTTAAAGAATGAACGGTTGGGCAAAAGCAGGCTGACAGCTGTGAGTGGGTGAAACAGATATCACTCTTGTGCTGCTGTTCATAGCGATTGCACGGCTTTCCCTGCGGACACCCGTGAACTGCTTCCCTCCTGCTCTGTGTTCTCCTCCTCCCTCCGAGTTCTCCAGTTTTGTCAGTTGCTGTAACTTTGGGGTTTACGCTCCTCCGCCTTTCCCAGTGTTCAGGTGTCAGGATCGGCGCATGCCCCACGGGGCTGGGGTGGCGGCCCCGGGTCCAGCTCAGCTGCTTCCGTCGGCCACGGTGGTTCAGACACGCGCTGTCGCGGCCCAGCCGGCTCCCCTCCGGAGGGTCAGGCTGCCAGTTGTATGTCGCTGGGCCTTCAGGCCCCTATTTTCATGTGGGTTTAGAATTTTGAAGACTTGGTGTTATTTCCCGGGATGTGGTATTCTTTTAACAAGGTCTGTACATCCTGTGTTTCTGTGGCACATTGACCTGGTCTGTTATTATTGTAAAAATGTACGTGTTCCTTTAAAAACGGCCTTGGCGAACAGGAGGGCTGTTTAGAGGTCTGTCTCCTAGGAGACAGGGGCCAGCTCTTCCTTTAGGAGACCTGGCTGATGTGTCGTCCGGAGTCAGCGTCCTGCTGGGACGATGGGCGCCTGCCTGGCCGCAGGCCCCCCTCTCAGCTGATTGTGCGAGGCCCTCCCTGTTCCTGCGCTGTCCCGCCTTCCCGGAGTCTGCTCGCCGCACTCAGACTTCCGGCTGCTGCTGTGCTTTGGAAGATAAAATAAAAAACATAATTATACTTTCTGAACAGATTAGTGCTCACCAGAAGCAACAAAACATTACCACATACCTGTTGTTTCGCTGTATGAAAATCAACAAGTACTTACCCAGTTATATTTTTCTTGGTATTTCAGTTGTGTTCTTCTTAAGGCACTTCGTATCGATTTCTCTCCCTGCGCGTCTTTATGAACTCAGGCCTGTACCTCGCGTTGCTGTCATGACGCTGGGCGATAGCCTTGCTGCGCGGGTGGTCCCAATGCCCACTGAGGGTCCCTCCGCCTCTGCTCTTGGTGCCCAGCACCCTTGGGGCTGTTCTCGGTTCTGGGCAACAGCAGGGTGTTCTGTGTGCACCCAGATTTTTTCTTGTCTCAGGACGCAAAATTGCTGTCTCCCAAGGGGCTCTACTGGGAAAGGACGTGTGAGGGCCGGAGGGCGGCGGCGGCAGGGACCAGCCCTGCGCGGCCGCGATGCCCACAATGACCATGGTTAGTCAGGGCAGCGGCTCTTGCCGGTGTCTGAGCTCGAGGGATGCGCCTGTCGCTGTGACGTGCCTGCCCTCGGCCGCCTCAGGGCTGCGGCCGGGGACAAAGCGTTGGGGGGCCACGTTCTGAACCTTCGGTTGCCGTCAGTAGGAGGAGGAGACTGTTGCCTCCGCCACCTTGGAAGAATCGCCTCGCCTGTGACAAAATTTTATTTTCCAAGAGACAATATTTTTTAGGAAAAAAAATACTTTTCACAGTTTTTACTGTTTCATTGAAAGCTTAGGATAAACATTTAATAAGGATATTTAGAACAGGATAGCTAATGTTTTAACAATCTGACATAGTATGTACATGCATGTACCTGGATGTGTGTGTGAAATACATGTGTTGTTTGTGTCAGCAGGTATGTGTTGGCATGTTTTATTGCCTTAGTAATAATATTAGATTCCAAAGAGACTGTTGTGTACATCACTGGGCTTTGCATATTTTATAATCATTTTATAGCAGCATGAAAAGTAAAAGACCATGAAGCCCTCCAACCACCGCTGAACAGACACCAAAGAGAGACCCTGGGCTGTAATGGTGTGATTGATGGTCAGCACACTTGTCCCAGTGATGCTAACATGACAGTTAAAAATGGCTTTCTTGCCCCAGCTGGCGTGGCTCAGCGGACTGAGCGCCGGCCTGCAAACCAAAGGGTCACTGATTGGGTTCCCAGGCAGGGCACAGGCCTGGGTTGCAGGCCAGGCCCCAGCTGGGGGCTCACGAGAGGCAACCACACAGGGATGTTTCTCTCCTTCTCTTTCTCCCTCCCTTCCCTCTCTCTAAAGATAAATAAATAAAATCTTTAAAGAAAAACTACTCTTCTAACAAAAATGCCTTTCTTTCACTTTACAGAATTCAGAGACAAGCCCATGAACTTAGTGACAGTTTCCCTCACCCAGCGCCGCCTCTCACACCGTTCCCACCCTTGGAGGAACAGGACCGGCCACTGGCACAGCCCTGTGACCGTTTTCAGAGCCGATGGCGAGAGGCGCTGTTTCTGGGCCCCAGGAGGCCTTTCTCCCTCAAAGCCGGACTTGGGAAGAGTGGGTTCTCTGTCTCTTTGGGCGGCGCCTGCCTGCACACGATGGGAGATTAGTGAGGAAACTCTTAAACGCGTTCCAGGCTGGACGGCTTCCTTTTTATTTCCGTGCTTGAGTTTATTACACCCCCGTCCGCGCCGGGTTCTCAGGACACGTGTCTGGGACTCGGGCGTATTGCTCTTTCTGAGCCCTTGGCCCTCCTCAGTGATAGTGACTCCAGGAAGGGGTGTCGCCAGCGCCCCCCGGGCAAGGGCACATGTGGTAAATACCCCGGAGGCTCTGCCAAGCTGCACGTTAAGTTCACAGCAGGACAGAGCTGACCGCCAAGGGTCGCCTGTGGCCTCTGACCTGCCCCCACACCATGATTCTTGCGTCAGGTTCTCTCGTCACGGGCCTTGGCAGCACAGGATGCTGGACGCTGCCCCGTGAGGGAGAAGCGTCTAGAATGGCAGCTTCCGTGAGGAACGGCACACACCGCGTGTCTGAGGCAGGGCTGCCGTCCTGCCTGAGCTGGGCGTGTCCTTCTCTGCCAGGCCCCCCAGCGAAGCTGGAAGCAGGTCACCCAGGGTTTTGCGGACCAGGTGGCTGCAATTCGTCTCCGGTGCCCTGGCTGCCTGTGATGTTCATTGGTGGCAGTTAGTAGGATAGGTGATGACTTTTTTCAAAGGGATGCCCCTTCCTTGTTTATGACTAAATTTCAGGGGCTCTAGCTGTGTCTAGATTTTAATGAAATTCTGTTTTATTGTGCAAGAACCGTTAGTTTTGCGAGCCCGGGAACTGATATTTTCGCTTGTCTGCTTTCGTACAAAAAACCTTTCTAAGAGACCTGAGCTCACAGCTCTGTGTCTTTGGGGGACAGTATGGCTTGGGGGTTTTACAAGGCACGTTATTGGAACCTTATCCTGGCCTCACATCGCTGTTCGGGGTGCACGTCATCCCAATAATTCGGCTCATGTTCTAAAATGGGGCCCAAAGGGGCAGGTGGGGGACCATGTGCCCTGGTTACAACGCCTGTGAGTGACGTCGCGCAGTGCCCGCCGTGCGCCCTGCTCTTTAACCCGGGTCTCACAGAGGGAGACTCTTGTTCACTGCGCCCCTGCCCTGCCTGGGCCTCCTCGCGACTCTGACTGACCTGCCTCAGGGCCCGCAGGGTGAGCAGGCAACACTTCTCCCGCCAAGCCGGCTGGGAAGCCATCTTGGTTTCCAGCAGGTCCCGGCTGGAGTGTGGCGTCTCCTTTCACAGGTGACGTGGGCGACAAACCAGGCAGAGCTGGCAGCGCAGAGGCCGGCCACCGTGGGGACGCGGTGCCTTCCCCTCACGGCGGAGTGTTTCCGTGGCCTGCAAGCAGCGCAGACGCCCGCGGATGCTTGGACGTCAGGGCCGCGGTCCCCTGTTGTGCTCAGCATTCACGGCAACAGGCCACTGGCCCCCTGGGCGGTCACGGTGCAAGTGGGAGGGTCCGGCTCCTCCCCATCCGGGTGGCCGCTGGTGTCTCCAGGACGGCGGGCCTGCTCTGGCCTCTCTGCCCGCAGTGCCTTGGGCCACATGTCTCTGTTTGCTGGGGCTCTTGAGCCCCTGGCCCGCACCAGGCGGCCTTGGTCCACTGGATCGCTGTCCCCCTGCTCTGCGGCTGGACAGCCACAGCTGGCGCACCAGCAGGGCGGGCTCCCCCCTCCATGTGGACAGGGCCGTCCTCGCTGTGTCTCTGGCACCGTGTGGCCTCTGTGGTTGTCTGTGTCCGGGCCTCCCCTTTTTATCCGGACGGCCGTCAGGATTGGTGGGCTCACCATACATGACCTCATTTTAACTCGATGACCTCTGTGAAGGCCGATCTCCAAATAAGGCCACACTCTGAAGTGTTGTGGTTAGGGTTTCGGCCTGCGGGGGCGCCATTCAGCCCGCAATGCTGTCTTCTCTTCTTGGTCCCCCAGGATGTGGGTCCCAACAGCTGTGTGTGTCCTGTACACCCAGCACCAGACGCTGGGCCGACGTCTGGCCCAGAATCTGGAAACGCTGGCTGAACGTGAGTGACCAGGGGCTGACCAGGGAGACTGAGGGGCCGGGCACTCCCACAGAGGGGGCCGGCGAGGACAGTCACAGGGGCTTGTCAAGGAGGGTCATGAAACGTGTGTCACCTTAGCCCCATGGGGTCGCGGGTGAGCCTCAGGGTCCTGGGAAGGGCGCCGGGTTCTGTCTGTTTGGGGACGGAAAGGGCGCTGTGGAGTGAGGACGCAGGTGGCTGAGTGCTGAGGTTTTATCCCAGGAACGGGAGGCGGGTCTTCAAGAATTAATTTTCAGCCCTCGGAAATCAGTCAACGAAGTCCGTGCCCGCAGCAGGCCAAAGAAAGACAAGTCTCGGGGTCACACGGGTAGTCCTGGAAAGCGCGTCTGACCAAGTCCAGAGTCTCGTCAGCCCGGGAGCTCGGGGCTCCTGGGCGCCGTGTGAGGGCGCCGCGCGCCCAGGAGAGACCGGCCGCCACAGGCGCACATGGAATTTCTAATAGTGCCATTTCGCTTTTTTTTAAATGGCTTTTTACTGTTCATTGTGATAAAAAATAGATTCAAATCATAGTTAGCCAACATGATTTCTTTACTGACTAAATTAGGTTTTTGTCTTAGATCTTTGTTCCCCAATTAAAGAAACGAGTGGGGAAGGACGCACGCTTCCTGGCTCTGGGTCTTTGCAAGGCTTCGAGAGAAGCCGGCAGCGCCAGCCACGGTATTTCAAGAGTGACCTTTATCATGTGAATGTCCAAATCCCCTTGTTAGCAATTAGGGGACAGTTCTGGGGTAATGTCCCAGAAAAATCTCCTTTAATGACTAGCGGCTTGCGGCTGTCACCAACTCTGCCGACCTCGTCAATGGCCTGTGAGCCGGGGCTTAAACGAAAGGCAGCCACCCTTCCAAGAGGTGCCCAGGACCCTCTGTCCACGACAGTATGGCCTTGGCTCTCCTGTCCCCAGACTGGACTGGCTTCCTGGGCCCGTGGGAGCCTGGCGAGATCGAGGGTCTCAGGGCGCCCTGGGCCACGCGCCTGCACAGCGATCTCATGGCGGTCAACAACTCCTTCGTCTCAGTCTGACCCTTCACCTACCCCCCGTGTTTGTGCCATTTTTCTCTCTTATTTCTTTGCGAAAATGTAAACACAATGAGCATTCACTCATGTGTTCCTCATTTGCTCCACAAACTTTTCTGTGTCAGACGTATGTCCTCAGCTGATGGTGGATCCCCAGCAGGTAGATTCCTGCTTGAAGGCATTGCAGGGACACAGAACAACGCGCTGTCTTACAGAAGGTCCTGCCCATGAAGAGAACGCCAGACAGGAGGAGGGATGAGACGACGGTGTTTCAGCAGATGAAACCGCCATCAGGAGGGACGTGACCGGACACTCGATGGAGCCTGGGGAGCTCCTGTGCCGGGCGGATGGTCCAGACACGGAGGCCGAGGGGTCGTGTGATGCGCACAGGCCCGCGTGTCTCCTTGGTTACGGACTGCGTTTTCTTACTCAGGGTTCTCAGCCGCGTTTCCTCTTGCCCAGCCAGCGCCACACTTTTCCATTGTAGCAAAAGCTGATTCCGAGCCCATCTGTGCCCTGAGAGCTGGAATGCATGGCCATTAGTGTGGACGTTTCTTCATTTTGTTCTGTGGAAGCTGATCGCCGGTCACTGCTAATCATTAAAACAAAACCGCAGCCCGAGCCCTGGCTTTTCAATTAGCCGGCTGCCTACCTATCCCCAGGCTGGGGGCTGGGCGCAGCTGGACTTAAGCAATATCACACGGGGAACGAGAGGCCCTCTGTCCCCACAGCGAGTGTGCACGTGGCGCCTTGTTGGGTCAGACTCTGCGAGGGGGTCAGAGAAGGTTCCCAAGCCAGGCCGCATGCTCTGGGCACAGGACGCGTGACAGCAGCCCAGCAGGCCTGTAGGGGACCAGCGGGCGGGGGCAGGCGTGTTCTCCACACGTGGTGCTGTCGGCGGTGGGGTCCGCGGAGGCATGGCTGACAAACAGCGATTCCATGCTAAAGGACACATCCTGGGCCCTTCTTTCATTCTCTGTTACACACTTGACTGCTTTGTATCCACCACACGGTTGCCTTGATAACACTCTCCCTCTGGCCCTGGCCGAGGGGGCCCAGGTGGGTGGAGTGCTGTCCAGTGCACCAAAAGGTTGCAGGTTCGATCCCCAGCTGGGGCACGTAAGGGAGGCAACCGATCAATGTTTGTCTCTCACATCAAAGTTTCTCTTTCTCTCTCCTCCCTCCTCCAAAATTAATAAACATACCCTCAGGTGAGGATTAAAAAAGCTCTCTCTGTACCTGCTACCTTACCTGCATCCCCCACCCCCCAAGTCAAGACTCCAGGACCCTGTACACTGCTCTGCCCCATTCTTCCTGGGAACTGTCACTCATGCTGCTCCAAGGTGGCCTCTGGGGGCTGTCTCACCCGCCAGGCAGGCGCAGCTCCCTGGGGGCGGCGTTTCCTCCCGCCCTCTCCTGGGACTGGGCCCGAGTTTGGGGTCTGCTGGCCTGGGGTGCCTGCGTCGCCCATCCCGTGTTCAGGGACGGACAGCGTGGTGGTGCACGTTGCGAGCGGTACGGGCAGAGAAGGGCCGCATCCCAGTTAGGGGCACAGTTTGGGGTGACCCAGACCCGCATGGCATGAAAGAGCCCAGGAGGGACTTTATTTAAGAACAATTTAGAAAAACGCTCACACTTTCAGATGGCAGAAAGAGGAAGAAAGGTCACTGGGTTCAGGGATGGCAGACGTCTGAAAGGTCAGGTGTGATGCACACCATCCATCAGGTGCAGGGGACAGAGGCCCCGAGGCCAGCCGTGTCCAGCTGCTGGGGGGAGGATCTGGCCACAGGCGACCCTTGGCGAAGGAAGCGTGACTGCAGGAGTCTCCTGTCAGCCCGATGCTGGCCGGCGGGGGCCGTGGGGATGGAAGACCTTACCTGCGGGGGCCGCATGGGACTCCTGTGTCTGAGCAGAAGGGCGGCCACAGGAGAGCTGGTCAGGGGGCACATCGTGGGTTGGGGGGCTGGGAAGGAAGGGTGCTCAGGTGGAAGAGCCGCATTCAAAGGGGACTCTGGCACACGCTCACACACGCTCTCCACTCACGCACACTCGCTCATGCTCCATCTCCGGAGAACCCTAACCTTTTCTCCAAGCAGTAGAAAGGAGAATGATCAGGAAGCGTCTTTCGTGCCTGTCGCCGGGCCAAATGACCGAGGAAATGGACGTGGGCTTGTGATTCATCTCAGTTGCACACGGCCTGGGCTCGCCAACGTTCTCGCACCGCAGATGCATTTAATTAGATTTAATCAACTAGATGGCACCGCTGTGCAGCCTTGTCTGCAGTTGGAAATGGAGGCCCCGGGGCCTGGGCGGAGATGGCCCCTTGGGCCGGCGCTGCCAGGCGTCTTCCCAGGAGGTCAGTCCCTGCAGGGGACGCCACCCTTTCACAGTGGAGCCCCCCCCCCCCGCCCTCCGTCTGTGCACCTGCCTGTGACACAATTACCCATCTGCTCTCCCGGAAAAGCGTCTGCAGAGCCCCAGGTCTGTGCGAGGCGCCGGCCCGCGCTGGGACTCGGGAGGGGACGGCTGCCCCTCTTGGAACGCCGGTGGTTTCCATGGCAACCGACCAGCCCGAGGAAGACCCTGACCTGTCCATCCCGGTGCTGGCGCTCAGCGCATGGAGGCGCTTGAGTGGCCGAGTAGCTGGGGGTCAGTGTGATTCTTGTCGCCCCAACACACACCCACACAAACACACGCAGGCGCACACACACATTCACAGTGGTTGCACTTCCTGTCACAGGAGCGGCCGCGTGCTCCATGTCAATGACATGGCAGTGGGAGCATCAGCCCCGTCTTGGGGAGGCAGGGTGCCTTCCCGGCTTCAGCGTGTCTGGACGCGGGGCTTGGCCGCCTCGCCCAAGCTGACGTGGCAGAGCTGTAGAGACATTTCCGTGGGCTCACGTGAGCAGCCCATCTAAAGCCTCTGTGCGCCAAGGTTCGCTGCTTCTAAGCTCTGGTCAGTGTTCTGAAAAATTAATGTACATGGTCCTTTTGTAAGGATGCCTGCATTTGTAACTTTTCTCATCATGATCCATTTGTGACGGGATAATATTCGGGACAAGGGTGTGTTGGAGCGCCCTGTGCGTGCCGTCCCAGTGCAGCCAGCGGGCGCGGCAGGGGTCCGCTTCCATGCTCAGACACCGCGTGCAACTCCTCTGGGAGACCTGGCATGCTGAAGGTCAGGCTCACTGACCAGCTCCCGCCAGCATGTCAGTGTCGCCGGGGTCTACAGGTGATAGCAGGGTCACTCTGGGTGCTGCGCATTCTCTGGGTTTGGACAAATGCATGATGACATGTGTCTATCCTTGTAGTATCAGACCGATATTCTACTACACACTGGACACTATAAACTAGACTGTTCATCCTTCCCCCCAGCCCTGACAACCCCTGACCTGTCACCGTGCCCGTGGCCTTGCCTTCTCCGGGATGTCACAGGGTGGCACTCACAGCCTGCGGCCTCTTCAGGTTGGCTCCTTCCCTCAGTCACATGCATTTCACAGGCTCCTCCACGTCTTCCCATGGCCCGAGAGCCCATTTCTCCTTAGTGCTGATGCCATCCCACTGTCTGGATGCACTGCGGTTGACCCGCCACCCACTGAAGGATGCCGCGGTTACTTCCGAGTTGTGGCCGTTCTGGGCAAAGCTGCTGCACATCCATGTGCAGGGATTTTGTGTGGACACAAGTTTCCACCTTGTTTCCCACAGAGCGTCGTTGCCGGACCCTGTGGTGAGACTGGGCTTAATTTGTGAAAAACCCCCACGTGTCTTCCTTGCCAGCTGCTCTGCCTGTGCTCCCAAGGACTGCGTGAGACCCCGCCTGCCGCCCACGTCCTCGCAGCACCAGGCGTGGTCAGTGCCCGGACGTTGTCCCTCTGACGGGCATGCAGTGGTCTTGTTGTGGCTTCAGTGCGCTTTCCTGGTGACAGACGGCATGGGGTCTCTATTCATGTGCTTCCCTCTTCTTTGGTGAAGTGTCTGGTCCCGTCTTTGGCCCATTTTTTAATTAAACTAGTTACTTTTTAAAAAATTGTTGAGGCTTAAGAGTTCTTTCTGTATTTTGGATGCCAGTCCTTGATCACGTGTCTTTTGTAAATTCCTTCCAGGCTGTGTCTCGTCTTCTCATCCTCTTGACGGTGCCTTTTGTGGTGCAGACAACTTTAATTTTAGTGAAGTCCAGCTTATCAATTTCTGTCATGGATGCCATCTTTGCTGTTGTACCTACAATGTCATCGCCATACCCAAGGCCGTATAGGTTTCCTCCTGTGTTACCTTACAGGGGTGTGATAGTATTTTGAATTTTACCCTTAGGTCTGTAATCCACTTGGAGTTACTTTTGTGCAGAGTGCAAGGCCAGAGTGTACGGTTCACAGTCTTGCTCGGGGCCGTCCAGTGGTCCCAGCACCGTGTGTTGAAGAGACTGTCCTTTCTCCAAGGCCTTGCCTTTGCTCCGTGGCCAATGGCCAGCTGACCATGTTCATGTGGGTGTGTTCCTGGGGTTACTAATCTGCTCATTGATCTGTTTGCTGTCTTCTCACCGGTTCCACCCTGCCTCCGTTGGCTGCAATTTAAATATGAGCCTCTGGCTCATCTCTGTTTGTGCCTTTACGAACATTTTATCCTGAGGGCCTCTGGATGGTGGTGTGGCTCTTAGCCCAGAGGCAGTGTTCACTGGATGTGCCCTTAGAATAAAGGGGCCAAGGCTGTGAGTTCCTAGACGTGTCTGCCTTGTAATGAGAGACTAAAAACGTCCAGCAGAGACGCTTTCATTCCAGACGGGCGTCCTGACCATTTTAAATATTCTTGGCACGTTTCAGTGCTGCTTCCCCGTAGCTGTAAAGATCGTTGTGCAGACATGCCATACATTATTTTATGAGTCAATTTTAATTTTGTTTCATCTATACATGTACATGCTATAAAAAAGGAAGTGGTTTTAAGGAGCTTTGATGAAGAGCAGAGTCAGCACTTGGCCTCCAGCCCACCCTGCTGCTCAGAGAACCCCCTCCCGTCCTCTACCTGCCCTCCCCGCCCCCCATTCGCTCAACATGGACACATCCTGCGTTGGGAAAGTCAACCGTTACAGGGCTTAGACCTCTGCAGTGTAACTGCTCATCGTTAATTGCTTTTTCAAAAAATAAGCCTGGATGAGCCCTCAGTGCCCAGGTCACGTCTCACGCTCTGTCCTGTGTGGTCAGCGCTGGTCCTTCTGCCCTGGGGACATGCCCCTCCTCGCTCTCCATCCTTCATCTGTAGGCTGACGCCCCAGGCGCTGGGCTGGGACCCTGCCAGCCGCCCCAGCACTGTCGCCTCCCCAGGAGGTCCTGCCACTCCAGCCTCTGGGTTTCTCCTCAGGGACAGTGCCTGAGCCCTGTGGGGGCGGGCGCTCCTGGGGGGTCTCGGGTTCTGCTCTGGGCTCGTCCGATGCTGTTTTCTTTAATGGATGGCTGATGTTGGGAGTCGTTTTGTTTTGTTTTTTTTCCTCAGAATTTCCAAAGTGGTGTTCCTGAATTTCTTAGCCTCCAGTGTGTTGTCTTTTGGTTGCATCCAAAACCCTTTTCTTAGCCTGAATTTTCAGAATCACACATGGTAGGCTGGTCCCTTTGTGTTGATTGCGCTGGCTGCTCAGTGAGCCAATCGCAGCAGAAACTCCCGGCCCCAGATACGAGGACTCCGTCTTTGTCTGACACTGTGCCCCTTCTGTTGTGGATATTTTATCCTGACTCTCCATGGGCCACAGAGAACAACCCAGGAAAGACCAAATAATATGTTCCCCCGCCCCCCCCCAGTCTTATTTTTTAAATCTGCTTTCTGGGATATTTCCTTGAATTCATTTTCATTCTTTATTTTTTAAAAATTTTGTTCTCCTGTGAGTAATTTCCCAGTTTCTTGTTCTGTGAATTTTCCTTTTCTAACCGTAACATCCTTTTCTTGAGCCGTGGATAAAATACCAGCTCTCTCTGAAATCCTGTCCTCCTTTCAAAATGTTTTCATTTCCCGTAATGCTCCTGTTTCCTCTCCTTTCGTTTCCCTGTCTGCTTGGGTGTCTCAGGCTGTGGGGGTGTCTCTAACTCTGACCGTCCTCAGCCGTTAAGTCCCGCATGAGCGCGACATTAAAAACGCATGCGCAGTTTCTGCGGCAAAGGAACGGGGTCACAGGCGCGGGAGCCCGCCCCACAGAGTCAACGGGGAGGCCTCTTTCGCGGGCGGTGGTTTCTCTGGCCGAGTCAATCACCCACTGCTGTTTGGGGTGGGGCGCGTGGAGGCCGGCTGCACGGCCTGGGCGGGGCTGGGAGGCCCTGGGAGGCCGCGCTGCCTGGTGTGCAGCCTGCGGGTTTCGCTGCTGTCCTGCTCCGCCCCCTGCCCCAGGGCTCCTCTCTGTTTCCTCCTCCTTTGCTGTTGCGTGGTGGTGGCTGGGCCGCGTGGGGACAGGGACCGGCCCGCTAGGCGCAGAGTTGCAGCCGCTGCCTCACCACCCTGCCGGGGGAACCCGGGCGTCCAGCCCCGAGCCCGTCCCGCCGGCACCCAGGGGCCTCGCGTGGACACGCTCCCGGGACGACCCGGGGTTCGGCCCTGTTAGGCGAGCCCCGAGCCTGCACCTTGTCCTCGGAAATAGGGCGAAACCGCGGCCGCCGGCGCCAGCACGTGCGGTCGCGCAGCTGCTCTGCCAACTGCAACCCTGGTGGCGGCGTGGCGGCGGGAGCGGGGAGCCTCTGCCCCGCGTTCTCCTGGCCAGGCAGCCCCGGCGTCGTGGGGGCTCGCGGCGGGCGCAGATGAGGGGGTGCAAAGGCACAAGCGGAAGTTTTCCAACAGCTTTACTGAGGTGTCGCTGGTGCGCAGAACCGGGCGCGTTTAATGGGCACAGCTGGGTGACTTTGGCGATGGGCCATCCCAGGAAGCCGTCACCATTATCGAGCAACAACCGCCGGCGTCCCTCGGGCCCCCTCTGCGGTGAGGACAGTCCGCACGAGGGCCGCCCTCTAACAGCGCTCGGTGCTCGACCCCTGCTGCCGGCCGCCGGCAGGGGCGCAGTGCGGCCCCAGCGCTCGTCTGCGGCCAGACTCCCGACCCCTGCGGCTGAGCGAGCGAGCGACAGGCGTGGAAGACTCAGAATCAGCTGCTGGGCTGGGAGTCCGTGGACAGCGCCCGATCTCTGAATTACCTCAATCACCTCATGTGAGTGGGCGGGCGGACGGCACCACCACACAAGCGCGGGACACATGACGCCCAGGAACAAACCCGGTGGCCACGTGGGCGTGCACGTGGCAAGGGCGTGCTGCAGTGAAGGGCGGGCACGTGGCGACAGGGGGCCACGTGGCGACGGGTGCGCACGTGGCAACAGGCGTCCACGTGTAGATGGGCCCGCTACAGTGATAGGCTGCACGTGGTCACATGACCGCGCACATTCACCTGGACGTGCTCGTGGTCACGTGGACAGGCGTGTGGCGGACTCTGCGCCCTGCCAGCTGGTGCCAGGGAGTTAGTCTCAGTCAAATGCTCCCAAAGGGCAGGCGAACTGGCGGGTCAGAGCTCTCCGAAGTGCCTGTGGCGGGAGAGATGAACTCCTTCCCCGCTGCCGCTTCCCATACCCCGCCCCCGACCCGCGAGGGGGAAAGCAGGCCCGTGGGCGCCCCGCATGCCGCCCCGCGCCTCCCGGCCGCGGCTCCGCCCGCTCGCCTTCTCCGGGCCAGAGGCGAGCGCCGCCTGGAGCACAAGCGGACGTCTGCCTGGCCTTCGGAAGGCGGCTGTGAGTTCGGCAGGACCCCTGCGTTGTCCTGTGTGGGTCCCATGCGAGGAGCCTGTCACGGTGACGGGGGGCCTGAGGTGGCGGCAGGTCCCTCGGTGCCGTGCGGGTGGGGCAGCGTCGGCCCTGAGACTGACCGGAGCCACGCCCGTGAGCGTCAGGGCTCGGCGGTCGCAGGAGCCGACGCGCTCGTTCCCGGCACCCGCTGCGTCCGCCCGCACAGCGGGGCCTCGAGGCGCCGGGTCGGAAGGAGCCCGCGGGCTTGTCGCGGACGGTCCACCTCGGCCCTGGAGGGTCAGAGGCCGGCGGGCGGGCGGGCCGGTCCTGCGCTGGGCGCGTGGTCTGCAGAGGGACCGGCGACGCGGGGCTTCGGGGCTGGTGACCGGCGCACAGGCTTAGCCGGCCGCTGGCCGGGCCTCGCCGGCCCGAAGCGCAGTGCCCCGGCTCGGCCCCCTGTTCTCTGGGTCCCGGGTAATCGGGCAGCTCCGTGCGAGCAAGAAACAGGCTCTCGCGCCTCCGAGGTCCTGCTTCGCCCAGGGCTGCTCGGCGCTGGCTGATGGCTCGTTCGGCCTCTCGTTGACCGGCGCGACGCCGTCCTGCTTGCGAAGCAGGGCTGGGCGGGAGCTGTCCCTCCCCCGGGGGACGCGCGCGCGGGAGGCGGCGGAAATGCAGTTTTCACTGGAGGGGGGGCGGGACGGTGAGGCCCCACCCGTCTGAGGGGAGGCCCTCGGGCGGCCGCTGACCGCGACGCGGAGCTCCGTCGTTTCCGCCTCCCTTCACCTGCTGTCGCCGGACCGAGCACGGCCTTGCCCCGGGTGCTCTCCTGAGGCGGCGGCGCTGCCGGGACCCGGGCGGGGCCGGTGACGGGCGCGGGCCGTGGAGAACGCGGCGGGCAGCGAACAGCAGTGCGAGCGCAGGCTGCGTTTCGTGCGCCCGCAGCCGCAAGCCGGGTCTCGCCGCGCCGCGTCTTAGGAGCCGTCCCGGCCGTGACCGTTTGCTGGGGGCCGGGGGTGGGGGGTCCCTGCCGCTCACGCCCATGAGGCTCCCGCGTGACCAGTGCCGGGCTCCCAGGTCGGTGACGCGCGCGGTTGACCTCGGACGGAAAACGCGAGCCGCCTAGGGTTTCGGTTCTCTGCCGAGTCCGCTGCACTGTTCTGGGCGGGAGGACTTGGCGACGTTAGTGACGCCCGCCTGCACCTGAGCGGTAACCACACGTGTTTTGTTTCGCAACAGGTCCTGCCGGGCATCCTGCAGAAGCACTGCTGCATCTCGCCGGACAGGAACACAGGTCAGTGCGCGTCGCTCTGCTGGCGCGAGGGCGGCGTCACACGGGGGACGGGGGCGGGGGGGGGGGGCTTTGATGGCACGGACGCTGGTGTCGTGGGCTCTGAGTCGCGGTTTCAGCGCAGGGTGGTAGCTCACCGAGACCAGCAGACCATGGCCTGCTCAGACCTAAGTTTATTGGGCAAAGGAAATGGACTCGAACGCCTGTCGTCGTTGGTTTTTAAGGGAAACTGATTGCCTCACAAGGTTTAAGACATTGGTGTTGAAGTTGTGTTTCGTTGTTGCCGATTTTACCCACTTACTAAGAAGCGTCCTGTTGGCCAGCCCGGGGCGCACTCGGAGCATGTCGCCAACCCAGGCTTCCCGTGCGGTTGGCGCGGGGACGGCCCGCGTCACGTCGCAGACCCTCAGGATCTCGGGGGATCTGGGCGACGTCCTCCTCGGGGGCCGCGTGCTGGCATCACGTCTCGCCACAGGTCACCGTGTGCAGCTGGAGGCTGTGAGTGGCCTGGTTTTACTACTTATAACGTGACTTGGCCAAGGGAATAAAAGTAAAAACGACCAAACATGGAACTTTGTTTTAAGGTTAAGAAACCAGCAAAAAGAATCAGTCCGGAGCGTGCTCCCCTGTGGGTGGCCAATGTATTGTGTTTTCACCCAAAACAGAGCAGGTCCGGAGGGAGCTGGAGCCTGTCGTTCCTGGAGCCGGTTGTCTGGGCACCAGCGCCCTCTGGTGGGCGTCGCACGGAGGCGGCGGCTTCTCGCAGGCGCTTCCCAGCTGTCGCTAAACCGGGCGCCCCGGACTCGCCTGCGGTAATTGGGATGAATCGCTGGGATTCACTCCACCGTCCTCGTCGGCCCCTCCGCCCTGGGCCGGGCTGGCCTGGCGAGTGCTCTTGACGGACGAGGTGGTGGTTTATGCTGTGCATACCCTGCGAGGCATGAGGGTTTGGTGGAAATAACGTCTTTTTTTTTCCTCCACGTTTATGAGCATGGATGGAGGACATCCCTGACCTATTACTTTTCAAGAAGTTCACAGAACTGTTTCTTCACCCAATTATTTCTCAGCTGTGACTTTTAGCATAGTCCCTGCTGATAGGGAAGTTTGTTGAGAACGTGGCTAATGTTTCTGAGTATCTTTCTATTTTCTGGAAGTCTTGATTAGTGATGAAAATAAATGAATTCGCATGCGAATAAACAAAGATCTTTGCAAACGGGAGTAGATCTTCAAAGATCTTCAGCACCAGGGAGTAGAATGCAATTTACAGAAAGAGTGAACTTCCCAGATTAGTTGACGTCTTTCAGCTGAGTCATTACTCCCGAGTCTGAGAAGCGCCAGAAATAATGATAAAGTTAATTACACGTTAAGTGCTATTCTCTGGGAATCTAAGTGGAGTTTAAATATTGAAATGAGTTCTTCTCTATTTTTAGACAGTTTCTTTTCTAAGAAGTTTCAAGTTAATATGGGGAATATTGGCAAATTGAAATGTTTTATTTGCTTTTCATAAGACTTCAAGCAGGCAACTTCTGGAATCAGGAACGTGTTTTATCCATTAAGGCTTGACTATCAAGGACATTTGTAGGCAATTTCCCCAAACACGCTTTACATTTGGGAGTGTCTCACTTGACGGCAGTTCTAGGGGACCTAAGGCTGTGACGTTAGAGGCAGAAAAGGGAAGAAATTGAGTCAAATGTGCAGAAGGAAGACTTAGCTGAAATTATAACTTAAAAGTGTAAGTTCAGAATGGAAAGATTAGGGAATTCTAGCTTTTACTGTATAACTTAATCTAAAACATCTAGAGCTGCCTAACTTCTCAGGAAACGTGCAAAGTTTCTTCAGGCTCAGACAGGGCGGTTATGGCTCTTGCATTTTATCAGTTTGTGGGGTCCTCATGGATGTGAAGGGAATCTGGCTTTACTTGCTGATTTTGTAGGGGACTCTCGTGTGTATTTCATCACAATTAAAAAAATCAACTTTGGGACGAATCATGGCTTTTGTTTGGTGTGCTCGTTGATTTTTAATATTTGGGGTTGCTGCATACGCCGTTAACTTAAACCTCATAGCTGAATATCTGGAAAAAGACCCACTTCCGGATGATTTCCTCTCCAGAGCGCGTGCACGGGGCAGACCCAGCGCCGGGTGCAGTGTCCGCCGGGGCCCCTCCTCCGCGGCGAGCATGCTGTCATGCCTGCCCTTCTCCTGTGGTGACTTTGGCGGGTGCCACGCAGAGCTGGGGCGGACTCCGTGGTCGGCGCTGCAGGCCGCTGTGTTTTTCATGTTTCTCACAGGAGAGCCGAGTGCCGGGCAGGTGAAGCGTGTCTTTGTGGCGGAGGGGCACAGCCCAGGAGGGGTCCATGCAGATGGGAACACCAGCGTGTGCACACATCTCTCAGCCCTGCCCCCAGCCCTCTCCCTGCTCTCATTCGGGAGCTGCAGGCAGGACCTGCGCCTGCCCTTGGCCGTCTCCTCCCGGGAGGGCCGCCAAGGGGCCGCTGGCGGGTGAGCAGGGCCACAGGGACCCCGTGCGGGAGGACTTGGGGACAGGCATGGGGTCTCTGGTGAATCCAGCACAGCCTTGGTCGGCTGCTGAGATGGCCTGCTGGTACTCCCCGCCCCACACCCGCCCCCGAGAGGTTCCTTGACCATTGGTAGCCTGGCCTCTGTGGAAACTGGCATGGTGGCGTCTGAACTGGCTGTGGCCAGTCTGGGTTGGGACGCGAGGATGCTGTGCACCTACGGCCCTGGACGGGGCTCCTGTCATGTGGTTTAGAAACCTTTTGGGCAGTGGCTTCTGCACAGACGTTTTATTACGATTGGCTCTTTTCAGGACTAAAATTAGCTGGTCGTTAAGGTTTTTTAGGTGTTATTTCCTCTAAGCCACGGAGATCTCTTTGATGGTTTTTCTCTATTAAGTTGGTGGGTGGGGATCCGGATTCCTGGGTGTAAAATGTCACACAGCACAAGTGATGTGTCCCGAGATCTGTGAGCATTTCTGCATCACCAGCGTGGGCTGGGACATCAGAGAGGAGCTTCCATAAAGGAAGTGCAGGTGACGAATGTTATTTCCTGGCGAGGGGGGAGGCTGAGCCAGGGGGCAGCTGGGAGCTGTGTGGTCCTTGAGGCTGCTGGCCTGTCCTGATTTTCAGTGGTGATGTTGTTTGGGGGGACAAAGCTGAGGCGACTGGGCTTCATAAACTCTGACTTCAGCTGAGCCTCTGCGTCCACCCTGCGCTTTCCCTCGGCATCTCTGGTCTCCGGGGAGGCGGCCACGCGACTGTGCGGGACAACTGGAAGTTTCAGGAAGAACTGATTCCGCAGTGACGTCGCAGGGCTTACCTGTGCAGACTCGTATAACAGTGAAGTAACGAGCCGGCAAGCAGGCAAAGCATGTGGTGGTGGTGGATTTTTTGAGATAAGCTCTATTCCTCCTTGATGGTGAAAGCAAAGTAATTGTGAAGTAATTTGTGTGTGTGAGAATTAGGGTAGAAAGATTTTGTTTTTCCTGTGTCTTGTGGGACTCACTTTTGTGTATTTGCAAATGCATGCCATGACAGTTACCACATTCCTGTGTATTTCTGACTCTTGTCTTGAGTTCTGACCGGCGACATTGGCTTTCCTGAGCCTGCTGACAGCGGCTGGCTGAGGGTCTGTGGGTGGTGTTTGCAGCCACCACGGGGTGGGTGCTCGCACCCTGAATTCGCTGCGTGTGGCCCGGGTGCCTGCCACCGTCCGCGTTCCGCAGCTGTGAGCTGGACTGCACGCCTGGCTCCCCCGTGCACACCGGTGGTGTTCACTTGGGGGGCTGTGGGCCGTGATCTGGGGGGGTCCTCATGGTGGCTCAAATGCACTGTTTGCAGCAGGGGGCTCGGGTTTACCCTGCACAGGCTGAGCAAATGTCTTTGCTGCTGTGTGTGGCCATTGGCTGTGAGGCTTTGGAAGCTGGCAGGGGATTCAGGCCAGCTGTGCTCCAGCTGCCCGGTGCGCAGAGCGCTGCGTGCGGGCCAGCTCAGCACGTTGGGGTCGAGCCACCGCGGGCCTCGGGGCGGGGACAGTGGGGCGGCTGTGCTGGGTGGCCCCAGCTGGGGTCCCTTTCGAGCTTTTCGCTTCACGATGAGTGAGCGGGGCAAATCGAGGAGGATGGTTTCTGTCTTCGCTGCCACGGAGCCATGTAAAGGAGGAGGGGTTCCCAATATCCAGTGTCACGGCCCCTTTGGCCGTAGGCATCCACGTGGAAGTAAAACTGTTTCGCTAAGTTCACACCCTACTTGCCCGTGACTCCAGAGGACACAGAGGCGTCCTGAGGGCATGAGGCCCGCAGTGTGTCCGCGTGAACTCTGGCTGCTTCCATGACACTACGCGAGGTGGCGGAGGCAGAGGGCCGAGGGTGCACGGGGCCTTCCACGCCACACAGCTGCTGAGCAGTCCGCCAGGACCTGCGCGCAGGTTCCCTCCAAGTCATCCCATGCTGGTGTACGGTCTTCCATCGGCCCTTGTCCAGGTGTGACGTCCTGTCAAATGAGGGACAGGACAGCACGGTAGAGACGAGAGGTCCCCACGGGACAGACAGAGCAGCAGGGCTCTGGGGCATCAAGGCACGCGTGGGCGAGCGTGTCGCATGGGTTTGTTGCTACAAAGTGTTCAACTATGTAGAAAACACGCTTATGCGACGCTTCTTTCCACAGCGCCAGGTGAGCCGCGTTCTAACCTGCCAGGTCAGCGACGAAGTGCTGGTTCTCTGAAAGACCCAGGTGTACTCCCGGTCAGCTCTCCATCCAGATACTGAAATTATTCTTAATGCCCTTTTCTTTATTTCCAAGAAGAATTGAGGTTGTGCAAACAGGATGCCATGTGTTATGATTCATAAACTAAGAAGAAGGCAGCACTGCCTGGAAGGAGGCAGGGAGGGCAAACGCTAGCGCCCCCGCTGTGCCTTGTCCTGCGCCCGCGTCCTGGCGGCCGCAGCTGCTGGGGATGAGCCGGCCGCGTCACTCGGTCCTTGCTGC